TAAAGGTGAAAAAAACAATACACACACATACACACACACACACACACACATACACACACACACACACACACACTCACACAAAAACAAACAGCAACAACAACAACAAAAAAAAAACCGGGGGGGGGGGGAGAGGAAGATATAACAACCACAACTTTTTTTTTTTTTGAAGCTCTTACAACGAGAAAATGGAGGGGACACATCTGGGTGGGAGGGGGAGAGGGAGGAGGAAGGGAGGCTTTGGTGATGGGACACAATAACTAACTACATTGTATATTGACAAAATAAAAAAAATAAAAATAAAAAAATAAAGATGTGTGCCCATGGCAAGTGGAAATCTGACCTACAGAGCTTTGAGAGTCATGCAGTCAAACCAGAGGCCTCTTTTGTTGGTTCTCTACCCATGTTTATCAAGAAAGGGTTTAGACACAGAGGCTGTGCCTGGTTGGGGTGCTTTTGTAACCCTCACCCTACCTTTGATTTACTCTCACTGATGGTCCGAGCAATGTCCAAGATGCCCAAGCTGGTACCTTTTGAAGGTGCCACATGGCTCAAGCACCCCAGATTTTGCTAAAGTTTTGTTTTCATGAAAGGAGGTACAGAAAAGGGAAATATTACCTGGGAAGGAGGAAGAGGAAAGGTCAGGGAGTAGGAACTTAGGGCTGGGGATCTCTTTCACTTTCTTGTTGTTGAAGTGGGAGTAAGAGTGCTCTGGATGCATGGTTGCCTGCTAGGTGTGTGTATGTAGTACCGTGCCATGGTTTAGGAGGAGTGGTGGTAGGAGAGGGTGTTACCTGCAGGGAACTTGGGCATGGGGCAAGGGAATCCTTGGGTAATCTCAAAGACTCTCTGTGTATTCAAAACACGGACTATGACTCATTTTGCTTTGCTTATGAATAGCTGTGGATGTTTGGTTGTGTTTCAAGAGCTTGAGGGACAGAAAGGGAGCTTTAGACTTCCCTTATAAGGTGATTATTTCTTCTCTTCAGAAGTTATTTACTTAGATAAATATCAGAGAATAAGGAAGGCTGTGATAGAACTCCTTAAAATCAAAGATGTAGACAACACCATTAATATTTGTGGTTCTTGTGTAGTCAAGAAGACTGGGAATGTGAAAGCCTGCAAACCACCTCAAATTATTCATTGTATCATAAATAATAATTCTCAAGGCAGGTGGGAACTTGTTACTCATCAGTATTTCTAACAAGTGCCAAACCTCCCTGATTCTTGTGGGTTTTCTATTTTTTTTTGGCATTCCAAGGGCTAATTGGCACATGAAATCTTTCTGTTGCGTGAAGCTCTTCCAAAATGTCCAACCTGATAAAATATATTCTGACTGCCAACCTCAGGCTTAGTGAGATCGCTTTGAGTCACAGATGAGTTCCTCATAATTTGTGGAAGGATTATCTAAGCTTCTGCCAGTGTTTTGAAGAAATGGTATTATGATAAGTGTATTTATAATATAGTTCATTTTTTTGTGGCCAAGAGCTTACATGCTAATTACTTTTTTTTATAACAAATACCATATTAGAGAATAGCATGCAAGGGAGATTTAATTTCTTGTAGGACATTGAATTATGTTTCAGATTTCTATCCAAAATGCTCACAGAGATAAAGAAAAAGGGAAGAGAGGGAACAGGTAAAATGAAAGGTCAACATTTCCTTCAACCCCAGCAAATGGTGAGGGGAAAGGCATTTGTGAAATAAAACTATTTCTCACCTGACACATTTCATGGCGGAGAGGAGATAATGAAACAATTTCAGTTTCACTAATTCTGAGCCTGGAGGCATATCTGAGAAAATCTCCCAGACGATCTTCCTCGTATGAGTAGACCCCAGAAGGAACTCTCCATTCAAAGGTTTCTTTCCGTGAGAGTGTGGTGGTCCTGGTGGCGGTGGTGGTCAGAGGGGCGAGTGTGGGGTAGTGAGGGGAAGGTGCTGCCAGGATCTGCTGTGGATGAGGAATATTTGGGCAGGCTGCTCTGATCACTTAAGTCACAGACAACATGACCTATCATGTTAGAGGATTTTCTCAACGTCTGAATCTCTTTCAATGCCTGTATATCTCTGACCAGACTCTCTTCTCTCCTCCTGCCCCTTTCTGATTGGCTGGGTCTTTACCTTCCCCAAATGACACTCTTTAAAGAGAATCTAGTCTCAGGACACATGCACTGCTGAAAAAGAATGTTCTGAGGGAGTTCCCTGTTATTTTGTTTCCGAGGCTGGGGAAGAAACGCCTTATGCAAGAGTTAGAGAATAAAAGGGTTATAGATGCAGAGGACCTGTCACTAGGCATGGTGTCATTCCATGTCCTCCATCTTGGCTCATACCCTGATGTTAACCAGATGTCTTAAAAGACCTAGGGTAGTAACAACTACTAGAAAAAAGTAGCAACAACTCAGAGCTTCCTGCCTCCAGTTCACTCTGAGAACTCACGTCTTCTCCCTACACTGCAGGAAGCCCAACTGTGCGATCCCTGCACAGCCACACGGGCACAGGTGCCCCTCCTCGGGCTTCCTTCTTAAACAGCCCCTCCCAGATGTGCCGCTAGGTCTCAGTCAAGACTACCTGACATTGGGAAAAACCATACAGTTTTTAAATTTTTTTTTTAATTTTAAAATATATTATTAGCATATTCATTCTTACAAATTGTGATATTTCTTTATGCCCTTCACCCAACCTTTCACTTTCCAAACCCCCTCCCTCCCTCCTTCCCATCTCTAGTATCCTTAGGTTCGTTCTCTCCTTCTGAAAGTTCAACATATTGTTGTGGTCTTTTCTTTCTTCCCTCATTCCCTCCTTATTCCCTCCTTCTCTCCCAGTATCCCTCCCTTCCTTCCTTCCTAGCAGCCAGTTATGTAAGAACATGTGGTATTTCTGCTCCTTTGTCCAGCTTATTTCACTTAACATAATTCTCTCCAGATTCGTAATTTTGCAAATGACAGAATTTCATTCTTTTTTATGACTGAGTAGTATTCTGTTGTGTATATACACATATTCTTTATCCAGTCATCTGTTGATGAATACTTAGGTTGGTTCCATATTTTGGCTATCGCAAATAGAGCTGCAATGAACATGGGGGTGCAGGTATCCCTTTAATATGATGATTTCCATTCATTTGGATAAATACCCAGTAGGGGGATTGCTGGATTGTATGGTAGTTCTAACTGTCATTGTTTGAGAAACCTCTGTACTGTTTATGGTAGTGTCTGAGAACAAAAGCAATTAACAGTTTTTAAGCACTGGTGCCTGGTACTGTGCCAGCTGCTTGGTATGCATTACCATATTTTAAACCTCACGACAGATGCAATAGGTATTATTTTTAGTCTTTTATTGTTCAGTCTCCTCCAAGCCCCATTGTTATGTTGGATGCTCCTGGCTAGGAGGACTTTTTGAATGGAATGACTGTGTCATTTCTTCCAAGTTTCCGAGAGAATTCTATAATACATTCAGTTCCTTTCCCTCTCTTTGCCTCCCTTGATTCCCCTCTCTGTCCTTTCTTCCTTCCTTTTCTTCCCTTCTTCCTTCCTTCCCTTCCTTCCTTCCTTCCTTCCTTCCTTCCTTCTTTCCTTCCTTCCTTCCTTCCTTCCTGCCTTCCTTCCCTTCCTTCCCTCCTTCCTTCCTTCCTTCCCTCCCTTCCTTCCTTCCTTCCTTCCTTCCTTCCTTCCTTCCTCCCTCCCTCCCTCCCTCCCTCCCTCCCATCTTTCACTCCACCCTACTGACACCACACTTGCTGTGTACCAGAAGTAGCAGAGAACAAAACAGCTAAGGGCTGTGCCCCCTGGAGCTCACATTCTGGTGGGCAATGACAGATAATAAATAAGTCAACAAATATACAAATGTGATAAATACAGACTGGGACAACTACCGAAAGAAAATATAAAGGGTGGTGAGAGAAGGAAGTGGGGGGTAGAAGCTACTTTAGATGGATGGTCAGAGAAGGTCACCTTTTGGAGGTGACAGTAGGTTTGAAAGTTGAAGGACAAGAACGAGCCAACTATGTGAGTAAACAGACAGTAGGGAACAGGCCCAGAGGCAAGGAAGGCTGAAGTGTCACTGGGGACTGCAGAGGAGGCTGGTGTGGCTGAATCAGGTGAACAAGGGCAAAAAGCGAACAAAGTGAAGCCAAGGAGGTGGGCACGGGCGGATCCCACGGTGCCGGGTGGGCTGTGGTTAGGGTTTTGAGCTTTGTTCTCAGTGGGATGGGTGCTCTGGGAGGGATTTAAAGGAAAGAAGTGACATGATTCATCACTTGGCTGCTGTGTGGGGAATGGATTGTAAGGGCCAGATAGAACAGGGAAGACCGGTTGAGGGTGCTTTTCTGTGCTGTCCTTCCCTGAAAACAGAATCAATGATTAGATAACCTTGGGAGGTCCACACGATTGCTGGTTCCCTAATTAGGTTTTTGTTCATCCTGCTCTCCTTTACCAGGTTTGACTATGAGGGGCTGGAGCCCAAGACAACGTATTATATCATGAGGGACCTGGAGGCCCTGATCACAGACAAGTCCTTCATCGGCCAGCAGTTTGCTGTGGGGAGTCACGTCTACAGTGTGGCGAAGACAGACAGCTTTGAATATGTGGACCCTGTGGATGGCACTGTGACCAAAAAACAGGTACATGCTGGGGAATACCCAAGACCAGGTAATCTGGCAGAGCTGGTGGCCAAAGTGTTCTAAAACTGGAGAGGTCTTCAGGGATGACCTGTTCTGAGCCCTCCATATTACAGACAAGAACGCTGCAGCCAGGAATGAGAAAGCCCTTGCTGAAGGTCACCTCGCTAGTTAGTGGCAGAGGGTGGATTAGAACATGGGCCCTCTCTGTACACTATTCTTTCATCATGGTGACTGATGGGCCAATACCACAAATAGAGACAGGCCCAACATTTCCTTCTAAAATGTTTGCAGCCTGCAGGCACTCTTATGTGGTGGCCATGATTGGTGATGTATTCAGAACAGTTTCTGAGTGCAAAAAATCCCTGTCCTTGGCCCCCCACCCCCAGGTGCAGGGATGTTTTGTCTCCTATTACCTTATGTCATTGAGGAATCACAGGAGATGGGTTTGGTACCCCTGGTTGGGAAATTTGCCCAGAAAACTCAAAAGGAAGATTTACGGTTGAGAATGATTATCATAGGTAAGTGGCAAAATTAACCACACTTCTGTTATGGTTTCCTCTTTGGGCATTGTGAGAGAGAATTTGATAGCTGCTACAGTTATTTTTCTTCTCAGTTTTGTTCATTTATTGGCTATGGCACATACTAATATTTACAGTCTAAGCAATGTACCTTGAGCAATGTTTAGACAAGTTCCATTTTAAAACTCCCAAATTCTTATTTTTTATACATTCTTCATAAGTACAGACAATAAGTCAGAAGCTGCAGGTCCTTTGGGACTAGATATAATGGTAGTTACAGCTGTTTTATTAGTGTTTAGTATATCCTCCTTATCCTAGGGTCCCCTGACTTGCAGACACTCCACATCCCAATGCCCTTTGTTACTCTTGGTATCCTCTCTCTGGTCCACTTAGTTTTGTGGAGATCTTTAATATCTATCAAAATATCAACCTTTTGTTCTGGAAGCCATTCTATGGCCCGACAAACTTATCGTCTCACTTCAGAAAGGTGTAAAGTGGCAGAGAAAATAGTGGGTAAGAAGCTAGAAGACTAATGATCAAATCCTATCCCTGCCACTTACTAGTTGTGTGATTTGGGGGAAAGTTGCTTAATCTCTTCGAGCCACAGTTCCTTCCTCATCTGTGAAATACCAATCTCACAGAATTGTTTTAGAAATGGAATTAAATAAGATACACAGAAGTTCCTGGCTATCCTTTATAGAGAGAGCGCACGATACATGTTTGCAGCTGTTTTGCTTTGCTCGAGGATGTTGCATGTGGACTGGACCGAGTTTGCTCTGAAATAACACCAATGAGTCGATCCATGGAGATGTGAAGTCAGGGGCTCAGCTGGTGTCTTTGAGCCGCTCTGCTCAGGATAAGTCCTTCCCACTTTTGTACCACATTCCCACCTGCATTTTCGTACCTTGAGCAATGTTAAGACAAGTTCCATTTTAAAACTCCCAAATTCTTATTTTTTATACATTCTTCATAAGTACAGACAATAAGCCAGAAGCTGCAGGTCCTTTGGGACTAGATATAATGGTGGTTACAGCTGTTTTATTAGTGTTTAGTATATCCTCCTTATCCTAGGGTCCCCTGACTTGCAGACACTCCAAATCCCAATGCCCTTTGTTACTCTTGGTATCCTCTCTCTGGTCCACTTAGTTTTGTGGAGATCTTTAATCTCTATCAAAATATCAACCTTTTGTTCTGGAAGCCATTCTATGGCCCGACAAACTTATCATCTCACTTCAGAAAGGTGTAAAGTGGCAGAGAAAATAGTGGGTAAGAAGCTAGAAGACTAATGATCAAATCCTATCCCTGCCACTTACTAGTTGTGTGATTTGGGGGAAAGTTGCTTAATCTCTTCGAGCCACAGTTCCTTCCTCATCTGTGAAATACCAATCTCACAGAATTGTTTTAGAAATGGAATTAAATAAGATACACAGAAGTTCCTGGCTATCCTTTATAGAGAGAGCGCACGATACATGTTTGCAGCTGTTTTGCTTTGCTCGAGGATGTTGCATGTGGACTGGACCGAGTTTGCTCTGAAATAACACCAATGAGTCGATCCATGGAGATGTGAAGTCAGGGGCTCAGCTGGTGTCTTTGAGCCGCTCTGCTCAGGATAAGTCCTTCCCACTTTTGTACCACATTCCCACCTGCATTTTACACAGGGCCCCCAGGACAAACTTTTCCCAAATGTAAGGCTCATTTTGTTTTTGTTACAGTAGAATTCAAGAGACATAAAAATATGTGCTTTCTAAAGTATCCTTGGGAGGTTTTTGTTCACTGATGAGGAAGGCTTGGAAACCATTCTTGGAGGGATTGGTCTGGTCAGTGCTAGGTTCTGGACTTTATCTACGCACAAGAAGCTTGTCTGCTGAGCTAATTTGTTTTGCTGTTAAATCCAATATCACTCCACTTTATTTCTTCCTCAGTGCACTCAGCACTTGGATACTTTTTTCTTTAGCCGTTCACAGCAGGCTAATTCCTCAAATGGATCTCAAGTTCTGACATCTATTTATTCCATCTCCTCTCCCCCACCACAGCACTGAATATTGGTTTCCATTTTTACCCTGGAATTTAGCAATTTTTCCCCCTCTCCACACTCTTCCATCTGGGCTCTAATGTGGCTATAAATAGATAAGTGCTACCAGGACCTGCTCCAGGGAGTTTTTCTAGTAAAGAACGAAGACTGTTCATTTCCCCAGATTCCAGGACCCAAGTGACATATTTATTGGCCGGTGGCCCTGAATCACACTGGAGCTTCTCTGCCGGTCTGGGTTTGGCTCAGCGAGGGTGATGGGAGACCAGTTAACACTGTGGCATCTTCACTGTCAGCAAGTCACAGGTGGTTTTTCTGCCACAGTTTGTCCTATAGGATAGAGGCAATCCCTACGTAGTGGGGCTGCTGCAGCCTCAGGATGCCAACCGATACCAGCATTCGGTTTCCAGGATAACAGAGTCTGGGGCACAGTTCATGTAACATTGTGCAAAATAAGCATATTTTTTGAACTATACACCTAAAAGACATATTTGAATTTAAATGAACTAGTATTATTTTTGAATAGCCAAAGTACCTTGATGTGTGAAAGGAAAACCCCTGGCCTGAGCACAAAAGAAACACACCAGGAGACAGGGACTCAACCAAAGTGTATCAGGCAGGCAAAATGAACAGGTGGCTGCCCTCTCAGAAATGGGAGCAGCAGCAGGAGGAGTCGGGCTGGGCTTTTTATATCCAGTTAGGCTGAGCTGGGCTGTTCCTGTTGGCTAAGAAGGAAGGGGAGGGAAGCGAGCGGGGTTTAAGCTGAGTTGGGATTTTTCTGTAGGTGGAGAAATTCGCGCACGCAGGAAGGGGATGTGGTGGTGAGGAAGAAGCGGGAGGGGGCTTTTTGTGATTCTCGGAAAAGCGCATGCAGGAAGGGGATGTGGTGGTGAGGAAGAAGCGGGAGGGGGCTTTTTGTGATTCTCGGAAAACGTGCTGTTCTAGGGACCTGAAACTCTCTGCAGCCATCTGGGTGTTCCTCCTGTCTGCCCGCTGCTGTCTTAGACATCGGCTAAAACATAATTGCCTAACAGTGTGTGCCTTCAATAGGTATTTACTGAGAGCCTACCCAATGCATAATTTGGGTCTTTTTCATGCTACAATTTTTTAAGTATAAATACATAACAGCTTTGAGATATAATTCACCTACCATACAAGACGCCCACTTAAAGTGTACACTTCAATGGTTTCTAGTACATCTGTAGAGTTGTGCAATCATCATCACAATCTGTTTTATAACATTTTCATTACCCCCAAACGAAATCTTGTGCTCCTTAGCTGTCATTTCCCTTCCAACATGCCTCCAACCCCCAACCCCTGGCAACCAGTGATCTACTTTCTGTCTCTATGGATTTGCCTATTCTGGACATTTGTGGTCCTTTATGACTGGCTTCTTTCACCTGATGTCATGTTTTCGAGGTTCATCCATATCAGTACTTCATTCCTTTTACTGACAAACAATACTCCATCATGTGGGTATACCACATTTTGCTTATCCATTCATCAGCTGATGGACATTTGTTTTTGCTTTTTGACTATTATGAATAATGCTGCTATGGACATTCATATGTTTTCATGCACACATAGATTTTCAGTTCTCTTGGGGGAATATATACTTAGGCGTGAAATTCCTGGGTCAAATGATAATATATTTAACCCTGTAACCTTTAAAGGAACCACCATACACTTTTCAAAAGAAATTGCACCACTTTACATCCTACCAGCAGTGAAGGAGTGTTCCAATCTAGCCACACCTTTGCGAGCCTTTGTTATGTCTTTTTGATTTTAGAATATTGTTATTTTAAAACAAATGACTATATTATGGATTGTTTTCAAATTAAGATAGGAGATTTAAGCTCCATAAGGAGAAACAGAAGTATGTCTCTGTTAGCAAAACCGAAAGGAAACATAACACTAAAAAGTCTCCATTTGCTGAGGGAGGCAGATTGCTATGGTCCTCTGCAGTATTCCAGGGCACTGGAGTCACACAGACACAAGTTTGAAGGCTGGCATCATCACTGACTAGATTTGTGACTTTGGGCAAGTTACTTCTCTGAATTTCAACTTGGGGTGGTGCAGTGGTGATAATAACCACAGGGTAATGGAAAATGTTTGAGGAGAAAGTCCTATAAAGCCTCAGGTACAGTGGCTGGTGCCTAATTGATGCTCAAGAAATATTAGTTCTCTCCCTTTACCAGAATCCTTAACTTGACTGAATATCAGTTTGAGGAAAGGATAAACCTCTCTTTCTCCCCTACCACACATACACACATAGTCAAGTATATATTTTTGAAAATAATCCTCAGTATGCCCAAGGGTTAGAAAGCATTCACCCAAATCTTTTGTTTATTCTATCGTTAAAACACGTTGCAGTGGAATTTGAGTTTCGGATTGATGATCCTGAGGTAGTAGGAGATTCCCAGTTATCATGTTTGGTTTAGAAATTCTACTTA